AATTTGTTTTTCTGCTGTTGGTTTATACCCTTAAGCAATGTGTCTGTGAATGCATAGTCGGCCACTGTGAGGGAGGGCAGATCCTTGAATGCATCTTTCACTTTGTGGAACACCATGGCAATGGAGAGCTTTTCCAATGGCATGCCGACGTCTTCCTTGCCCTTCAGAGCCTCTTTCTTCAAGTCTTTAAAGTCCTTTCTACTTAAAATATATCCCTCGGGCAAGGAATACGCTTTCGTGTTAGCTTCAGGGTAGTGCTGAAGAACGTATTCGAGTTCGGCGTCCTTCAGAGGCTGCTCTTTACCAGCCTCATTGTATACCTTCAGGTAATTCCGTATGTCCAGGTTTCCTCTTCTTTCGTAGCTTTGAAGTCGTCCAAGGTCTGAAAAGTCCTCGCAATTGCTGCATCCCGCTCTTGCCCCCTAATGAATGAAACTCTCTTCAATTCTTAAGATTTCGACTGCAATAAGAATTCAGGCATTTAAAGACTTATCACTCAACCCTTGGGTGCTACGTGAGACGAAAAATACCAAAAGAAAAGTAAAATATGATGTTGTATGCAATTTCAGGTATGACACGATGCTAAAAAATCACATTCTAATAAATGCTTTTAAATTCAATATTAATTTATATGTCAATATGGAATATTACTGAATATGCGAGTCGTAGTCATACATTTTGACAATGGCATGACAGAGGCTTTTACTTCATAGGGAAAACACCTTGAGCTCATATGAACTGAAATAGTTCTAGGCGTGATCATCTCTTCTTTAATGTGCCGTTTCTGGGGAGTAATTATTAGTAATTTTTCGTTTCCTGGTGACAATAATAATAACATGGATTCCAAAAGTATCTTCTAAGTTAATCAAATTACGCCAATACATATTGCCGCCAGAAAGAGTAATTTGTGCACCCGGTTGAAAAGCAGAAATTCTCTTTCATCAGTTTTGATATTACATGACCTTTTTTCATTTTAAGCAAATTAAAAAATAGCCAGGACATTGCAGCTTTCAAGTGTTTCAACACTTGTCTCATTGGGAACTAACTCATATTCAGTGGTCGGGCAGGTCAAGTATCTTGCTTAAAAAGTAGATATTGCCTGCCACTTTAATATTCTATACGTTTTCATAACCAAATATTTATTTGGAATAGTCTTTCAATTTTCCCACATCCTATCTCTCCTAGGTAAAACTATAGATATGACGAAAGTGGATGTCAAGATGCTAGGTGACGAGATATCACTGCAGGAATAAATTTCTCATTCAAGTTCCATGGGTCTTTCCTTCCTTTTTGGAGGGTGAGAGAGGAATGTCTGAAAGACTCACCCCTAGGAACTTCCCAATGTTATTTAACTTGAAGAGAGTTTCTTCACAGATTTCCCCGATGTCTGCTTCCAAAAATGTAACTTCTTTCACGCGCCCCTCTTCATGCATCGTGCGCCAAAGTTGTCGATGATTTGGTAAGCAATCAATTATGAAGAGATTAGTTCGCGCTCTGGACATACTCTCAAGAAGCCAGGAATCCTCCACGTTCACAAGTACTGAAACACTGGATTCGCACCCTCGAAACTCTTTCGGATGTAGAAAGTGAAATCTATCGAAATGTTCCTTTTTAATCCACGATTGCAAAGATGGTATGAGCTTCCCGTCTGAGACTAACACATGCACGGAGTCCTCTCGCATCTCCTTTGTCACATAGTAGCCAAAGCACATGAATACGCCAAGAAATGGCTCACAATTCTCCTGTCCATTGCAGGCATACTGTAAATGATAGCCAGTGCATTTGTATGAACATTTGAGATACTTCGGCTTGAGGCCTTCGATCCAGGCACCTGAGCGAGAGGCAGTGGGAAGGCATCTGGCCTCCAGCTGCAGGGGGTTGCGAGTTTCGTTTCTTGAGATGTGAGAGAGTAGCTTGTCGCTTGTGCAGTGTGAACGAGTTTTGAGTGTGAACACCTTCACCGTCTGTTTCTCGAAAAATGAGCCGAGTTCATCCAGGGAGATATCTCGGTCTACACTTGAGTGCGACTGAAAGGCAATAGTCAACGTGAGTTTCCGGTCACCTTTTTTCAAGTTACTCAGGACCTCTGTCCAAAGTTTAATCTCTTCGTCAGTATTTTTGG